GCTTTGGACAAATGTACGAATCACCTGAATATCGCAGCTAATGTCAGCGATAGTTCTGAAGCGCGCTATACCAATTTCTTGCGCCAATTTCTGTGCCTCAGCAAGTTGAAGGTTGTTCATTAGCCTCGGAAATCCGGGCTTCCAGCCGGTGCCGTTGATGACTAAGCTAACATATGGGGCAATCTAATTTGAAGTCTCAGATATTCATATCGTTATAGGGGCTCGGTCTTACCTTTTCATGGAAGTGACTAGTAAACATCTCAGGATGGGAATAATATGTTTCCCGATCGTATGGCCCGCCTCGTATATCTCGCAAATAGTCCCAAGGCTTCACATGAAGAAGATAGATGACATTTCTTGGCGTTGCTGGTGTCGAATGAGGGTTGCATACGGTAAATGTCATGTCAAAGTACCTACCTTTCGATGTCGCAAGTGTAGGCAAATCTTCAGCTCGTATATGCTTGAGAGGAAGCTCGTTGAGCAGACTGAGGGCACCTTGAGAGACGTTACCGTTTCCTGTGAGGGCAACTATGTACGGGCCGGTCTCCTTAGGGGTACCTCGTTCCGAGATGATCTTGCCGATGTTCCTTAAGGACTGGCGGAGGTCTTCCAGGCTACGATGATGATAAGGCCGAGGTAGAAGCTACATATTTCGGGAGGTTATTGAGTGAATTTCGGTCAGCAAGGGAGGGAAACGTGGCTCACAAGAAAGGGTGATGAGACCCCGAGCTTGAGATGATCGAGAGCGAGGGCGGAGAAAGCTTCAGGGACGCCGGCAGCACCAGCGTACCACCCAAAGGCCACTACGCGCTTCCCTTGAGGGTCGGTCATCAATTCGTAGTCGATAAGCCTTGCGGTCGATTGCTTGAACCGGGCAAGCAAGGGCATATTATAGGATTGGCCCTTGGCAGTGTGCGAGAACATGAGTTGAATCCTAGACCGTCCATTTACTGAATCCGTCACGAGGTCATCCAGTGGGGTCTCTTTGATACCGAGTACTATATTTGCGTGTTCCAAGGTATCAGATAATTCGGCACCAACCTAAGGGAGAAATGATTCAGTCATAAGGATGAAGCAAGTTGAATAATTACATTGAGGTATTCTTGAGTGGGAAATATGCGACGAGCGCAGGGCTGTAGCAAAACTCGAACACCTTCGTCGCGAATGAGGGAACTGACGGCCTGGGGAGTCAGCGGAACTCTTCTCTCCCAGATCCGAGAAGGGTCTTCACGCCGGATACCAAGCGTCAGCGGCGCAGAGGCGGTTGCGAAGCCGCGGGATGAACGAGCACGGAGAAATGATTGTCTCGGAGAAAGAAGAAAGGTATGAAGAGCCATTCGAACTAGTCACGAATAGCAAAATAATCGTCCACAAATTCGCTATAGGGTTTACAGGATGTTGGAGGAGTCCAAGACGAATTGGCCGCTCCCTGGCGAGGCAAGCACACGTGCCCATTCACTTTCAAGTTCCGATCCGCCGTGTCAACTCTGAGCTCACCGTTTC